ATAGTATTCATTATCTCGCTCCAGAGTTGTCTTATATGGTGACTAACATTGCAACTCCTTGAACTGTTTGCATGTTCTCAACAAAATCTATCTGAAATGATAAATTACATAGATACAATGTGCACACCGATTGAGTTGCATTAGCATCAGCATGTTGAACGGGTGATACACACTTCACAATCGTTCAATATGTTCAATCGGATCGTATCAGGTGACACTGTATGCATGTTAGGTGTCAAAAATTCGAAATAACAGTATGAAGATCAACGAAGTCAAAGTTTTCTGTTCGGCCTACCATATGCACCATCTTGCTCTGAAGTCGTCTCATATAGTCACCGCAAATGTGAGTTGTTGAACTGTATGCATTCAACTCACTATATTGCAGAGTTATAGTGTGCATTTGGTCGATGTCGAAGTATATTGTACTGCATGATGTACTTGTTATACCTGCATTGAAGTCGTCTCATATCGTCAAAATCGTTTCTTCCTGAACAGTAAGTAGATGCTAGAATGCAGAGTTGAAGAGGAGATATATACGAAGTCGAAACTCATTGAATAGCCTGCTTCATGTCGTATCATATGATTCGTGAAAACTTATCTACTGCAGAAGGATCCTCATGAGATAATAGGATACAGAGATACAATGTTAACTTGGATGAAGTTGATGTATCTTCCTTAGCATGTACCACTTGTTGAACATGGTTCAAAAGTGTCTTATATGGTCATTGCGATCGTTTCAGGTTGAAACTGTATGCATTTTGGGTGCAAGAATGCATAATCACAATATGCAGATAGTCGAGCTTAGAGTTCCTTCTTCTACTTTTCATATGCTTCATCCTGCTCCAAAATCGTCTCTTCTTGTCACATCAATCGTACCTTATGGAACTGTATGCATGTTAGATGCTAGAATGCAGAGTTACAGTATGCACTTGGTCGAAGTCGAAGTGTCTTGTTCTGCCTTTTGTATGCGTTATACCCGCAACAATGTCTTGTGCTCATATGATCTCTATTCGTCAGATGCTAGAATGCAGAGTAATAGTGTGCACATAGTCGAATTTGAGGTTTCCATTACTGCTTCTTGTATTCGTTAATAGTAGTAAGGGAAAGACGAATTCTGAAACACGGGTTCCAAAAATACTCCCTAGAGTCTCTTGTGTCGCTGTGGCTTCGGTCTGCAACTTGGTGGCAGAAAATTCAAATATTGGATGGGAATATAATGAATAAAAAAAAATCAGGCTGTGCGGGAGAGGAATCGAACCCCGGCCACCGGACTGCGAGTCCGAAACGCTACCATAGCGCCACGCCACTAGACGAATTTGTGTACGAGTTTGGAGTTTGGTAAGCGGCGAGATGGCAGGCGATGCTGGAGAGAGCGCACCTGGCGCTAGCATGTCGACGTTGACGGACGTTTGAAAAAATCGGATATCGTGCTCCGTAATCTGCATTTCGTCGTTTTGGCAATGGCGTAGCGACAAATGACGTACGACATATGACGTACGACAGATGACGTTTGACAGATGACGTTTCGTCGATTCGATATTCTGTCGTTTTGATGATTTGTTGTTCAATGTGCAGAGTCGAGAATCAAGAAAAAAAAACAAATTCATTAGTAAATATATTCATTCTTTTATTGATTTATCGAGTAACACTATTTGAGTATCGAATTATCGAACCATTTGTATGAAATATCAACGTTGCGAAGGCTGCAATTGAAGGATTCTCGACGAAGGTGATGCATACAGGATGTGATGGTGTTGTTGTTATCGGAAGTTAGAACGTTGTACCAGGAATCGTCATATATCTCCAAATTCAAGACTCTTGCATGTACATTGAATGTTGCTAATTAATCGTCCAGGAACTCCGTTTTTTGATGACCTCGCACATAGATGATATCGATGTCACTCAGCTTATCCTGAAGGATATCATTGAGTAAATTGTATGCCACAAATCCGGTAGAATACCTCAACCCATGAATGTTGTTTTCCAAGAAACAAGCGCCGGTTCGGTCTTCTTTGCTAATAGAAGAGAAGGATTTGTATGGAAGTAGTAGATGATTACTACATTGAACTCTAATTTCAATAGCAATCTCCTTGGGGCGGAATTCATGCTCGATAATGAACCCTTGAATGTCTATTAACGCTACTCTCATGATGCTTGTCGAACTCAAACTGACTGACAAACTGAGATTCAATTCCACTTCTTGATAATTTCACTGAGTGGGAGGTGCTCAATGATGTTATCATGGATGATGATGCAATAGGCTCGAGTGTTGGCAGGAAATCCTTGGGATGCTTCAATTTCAAGTTTGACATCGACAGTGGAGCTTTTGACACTTTCGTCTCGTCGCGAACAATCGATAACGAAAAGAGGTTATTTATTGGCAAACTCTGGGACACCCAGGAGTGGAGTGTGTTGTTACGTATATTATACAATTACACTGCGCTGGCAGCTTTTCATCGGCGGCATATGGGCGTGGATTTTTGAATTTGCTATCCTGATAGATCACAAAGTTGAATTTACTGAAAAGTTCCAAAATTATCAATTTAATATAAAAAATGTCAAATTTATATTTTAATGGACGCCACTGGTTCTTTCAGATAGTTATTCATCTAGGAAGAAACAGAAACCTGTAATATATGGATTGAGAGAGAGATGTCAGTAGAAAGTAAAAAATCTATGGAGCAGGTATATATACAATTCAATGAAAAAATCAGTTATGAGATTATTTACAAATAGTAGGTACAAAGAGGTAGATATTATTTATATTATACTCATATGTTCCGAATTGATATAGGTACCCTATTAATATAATGAAATTATACTTCATTGACAGTTCAGTCTAAATTCTAAAAAGAAACCCACTTTGAATATTACTTGTCATTGAATATTTGTAAACTTCAAGGAAATGTCCTAAAAATTCATGAATTTTATGGGGAAACGTTATACTGTAAAATTGCCTGTTTGTTAGCTAGTATTTAGGATATGGAAAATTTCAAATAGGGCTTGAACATTTCAAGTGCACTTTCAAAATCTGAGTTGTAGGTATGAGTATATCTTTGTACCTTGATTATTTTGACTTGAATGGAACTTATAACTAAAAAAACCTGATATTATCCAATGATGACGTCATGGTTTTGTTCATCATCAGGTAGAAAGCTGAAGTGGATAGTAGACTGGTAGAAACTTGTAGACTAGTAGACTAGGAGACTGCAAAACTGCCAGACTATGATACTGAACATCTTTGAAGCTAGTAGACAGCAAAACCTTGAAAATTGGAGACTGCAAAACGTTGAAAATTGGAGACTGCTTGAAGGTGATGGTCATATGTGGTCAGCCTACCACAGGAGGAATTTGGATGGCCCTTGCACAGCCATATCAGACAATCCAACCCAGGACATGGTGAAGAATATGCCCATACGTAAAACCATAAAATGGATTAGGTAGGTATCAGAACCTGGTCTCAAAAAAAATGAGAGTTAACTCTCGTCGTGAATAAAATGGAATAACTCACCTCTGGGGTATAGAGGGTTTTACCAAATCAAAAATACTGATGGATGAGTGACTTCCAAGATGGCTGGTTGAGCAGCATTGGTGTCCATTAAAAAAATACTTCCTCAAGCACGTGTTTCGAGAAATTCTCGAATGGAGACTTCCATCCTGAATATGATTGAAATATTGTATAACGATATTAAAAAGAGAGTTTGAAATCTTACCATCACGCCGAAACATAATTTTTTCCTAGATAAGGCTAGGCGCCTATGCAAAATTTCAGGATCTACCAAGAGCCTGACGAGCCAACACGTGAAACAGCCATCAGCAAAATGGCCCAAAAATGACCTCTCCGGAAAAGAGAACTTGACCCTGACATTGAACTTGACCCAGACATTGAACTTGTCAAAAATCGTCAATATCACGGAACATTAAAAGTTGGAATTATTGGAACCAAAGATCGGGACTGTCAACGAATAAAATTTCTCGTAGCAGTATTTCTAATTGCACCTGTGAACTGAGGCTGTTGGTGATGTGACCTTGAACCATACGACTCTGGTCCGCCTCCAGCTAGATACTCACGAACAAAACAATAGACCCAAAAGGTCTCGTGCTGATTGGAAATTGATGTCATAGCGAATGAAGAATAAGAATGTATCGAAGCAAGAAAAGAGTGACAGTGGCTATTAAAGAAGAATTGGTAAACCATAACCAAGACGTAAACATTGGATGATTTTGTTTCAAAACAAAACGAAAATAATTGGATCACCTAAAAATACCCAGGCCCATTCGATTCTACAATATGTACAATTTATTTACAATAGAGGTAGGTGCAAGCAGTTTTCTAATCAAACCTATATTTGATTTTTATAATATGGTTGAATTCCATTCTGATGGTTACCTTGTTCATTTTCAGTGCCTGCATCTTTGAAATCAAGTAGACTATAGAAAACAGTGTGTATTCGAAGAAGACAACACTGTGTGTTCAAACGAGAAAGGTAAGGATTATTCAAGTAGGTAGGTACCTAGAATTTATTAAATTATGTTTGTGTTTGTTTTCTATAGTTACATTATATTACTGACTAATTCATTATTTCTTTTTGTTTCAGTATACTACCTGTGCGCGTTCTGTTGGATACAAGATGAGCAGTGATATACAGGGCGCTTCAATATTAGATGTTAAATTCTGAACTATGTCAACTGAATTTATCAATAAAGGTTTATAAATTCGACAGTGTATATCTACAGAGTTTCTCTAGTGTTTTAGTAGAAAATACCATGAAAAAAGTAACGTTTGATATGGGCAAATTATATTAGCAAATGAAAACGTTACAGTGTAGCGAGGTGTTTTTATAGCTGTATCCAAATTGCGTATAGTTGAAGTACGCCTGTGGAAAGGCTCCTTTATCGAAGGCCAACTGCATCTTCTCCTTTGGATAACTTTCCCCATTGAGAGTTAATGTGATATTCGTTATGTTTGCGTGATTGAAAATCGTGGGATCAGTATTAACTTAAGTCAGATCATGATCTGTTCGAAAGCGAACAATGCAATATCTAGGACTTTCGAGAAACGGAGATGTGTTGTCGGCCCATATTTCATTGGTGGCGCCTGTCGTGAGAGAAGGCAACATATGCAATTCCCATTTTCTGGAGGGTATCAGGATGGGAGTGTCGGCTTTGATTGCCTTCAAAAGTTGCAATTTGATTTGATCGTTCGGAAATAGTCTTTTCACTTTGAGTTCCACGTTTTCGATTCCCAATTGTACTTTTGTGGGTACAACAGCGGTGCCAACAGCATTTCCGGTGATTTTGAAGCAGTTGTTATCGTTTCCAGCTCTTACCAAACGAATGGAATGTTTACCATATGAGACCCATTCATAATCGTTGAGAATATTCAGCAGATGCTTCAATGGGATGAACATACTGAATGCCAAACTTGCTGCATTTATGACCTCAACGTTTTTGGGGTAGGTCCATCCTGCTATAGCCAATTGTTTCGTATCTTCGGCACTGTAGAACAAATAACCTCTGACAGTGCTCACAGTACCAACATCACGTACTGATTCCAATTCCTTGCCATTCTGATCATAACTGATGGATTGAAACATATAGGCACCGGCATTACCCAACTAGCATTTTCAGTCACAGGCACCATGGTTCAAGAAACTATTACCTATATTTAGTGATAATAACGTATTTATCACTTATTTCAGAACTTCATAGTATAAATGTCAGTGATAGTTATTTAGTGAGTGAAAATTACGTAGTTTTTACACTAGATAATAACTTCAAAGTGAGAAATTCTCATGGCTTATTACGAAGTAACTATTTCGAAACTGTCACTCCTCAAAACTACTCTTGAGGTTTCGGAACTTTGGATATATTATTACGGTTAAGCTTACCACCCCAAGAAGGCTTCACAGTTGCAATTACTCTATGGTCACCAATTAGGTTTCTACGACGTTGTCGTTACTTGATCGATCACCTAATAATTTAGTCAATTCTTGGTGATATTTCAAGTAACATATTGGTAATTCCTACTCAAACAATTCCTTCATAGTTGAAACAACTTTTCGGTAATTATATTCAGTTGAAGTTACCAATACATAGGTTATCATAACTGACGAGTTCCAAAAGTAACTTTCTGATTCATTTTCGATTGGAAGCCATATTGATTGATGTGATAACCATTCGAACAGGAAATAATTTTGGTTCTTCTTGTTGATAAACATCATTTTATAAAGAATAATAGCATTCGTTCGATCACAAATTGCATAATAATGGAAATTAACATGATTTACGATGATTTTTGAAAAATAGCCGAATGAAATAAAACCATATTTTTGGAGAAATGAGCCGTATTCTGTGGGCGCATCTTGAATTTCGAGGCAAAATCATCACATTTATCGAAAAACTGAATGTTGTTCGAATTTTTCAAGTTCGAGTATCAATTATTTCGCGTGTTTGTCCTTGTATTATTTATTGAATGGTTAGGCATATTGGACTTGTTCATTTTTCGTGAATGTGAACTTCATGGATGAAATGAAGAATAATAAAGAGAGAAAATAATATTTTTATGAAGTGGAAAAGAAATAGAAAGTCAGGTAGGAAAATTTACTACATCTTTACGTAATTTCGACGTCGACGGGTCGTAAGCATTACGTAATTGTGTGAGTTCCCGCTACGTCGGCAAACCGTAATAATTACTCGTGATTTGTTCCCCATTTTGGTCGTAAATACGTAGTAACGACGTAATTATAACGTAACCGCAACTAGTAAATATTACTTAATAGTCGACCCAATAGTCGTAATTACGTAATCGCGACTATAAATGCTAGTTGGGTATTGACGAAAGCTACATGTCCAGCACCTTCAGTCCTCGTAACTTTTCCACTGATGTGTAAGATACTTTCATAGAGAGCATCGAAAGCATCAGTGCCGAAAGTTTTAGGAAGACTCACTGTGTTGTGTGTAGAAGTGCTCCGTGAAAACTTGTATTTTGCATGTGAAAAAAAGGAGTTTTTCCACCAGATCTTGGACCAACAGTTAATCAAAGTGAGTCTAATTCGATTAACAGAAGATAAAGGACAAAATTAGATTAGGTCATAGGAGAATTGGAATAAATCAGATATAACCGATTCAATCAACCTGTGACAATAAAGGCCAAATTTGTATATCAGATACTACTATAAGAAGGGTACCTTTTTATCACATGAAGGAGGAGGCCAATTCCACCAATAGTCATTTCACTCGGAATAAATATGCCAGATGATCAGAGATTATTTATGTTGATTCAGAAAGCAAACGAAGAACAAACAGATAGATTAGCCAAAGTTGCAGAAACTCAAACTGAATTACTTAGGGATGAAATTAGAAAAAACGTAAGAGAAATCGAAGGAAAAGTAGATGTCGCTCTACAAAAAATTGAAGACCTAAAGAAAAAATACATCGAGACAAAAAGACGACTGAGAAGAAACAACATTGTAATATTTGGTTTTCAACCAACAGAAGACCTACTGCGCGGAACACTCAACAAATTGAACGAAATACTTCACCTGGGGCTTCAAGAAAGTGATGTTAATAATATTTACATCACAGGGAAGGAGAAACCAGCAATTATTATTGAACTTCTCACATTTCTGAAGAAAAAACTGATCTTCTCTAAAGTAAAGGAACTCAAAGGTAGTGAAATTGCAATTACTAACGACCTTTGCTACGAAGATAGAGTAGACAGAAAAGTCCTCAGATTTCATCAACAAAAAGCACTGGAACAAAAACTCGAAGCCAAAATTAAAGGAAACACTTTAATTGTTGATAACACAGTGTATACTCCAGAAGACCTTCTGAAATTAGAGACAAATCTACAGTCTGAAGAAGATTCAGAAAACGAAGAAACACCATTGGTTCAGCTACTTTCAGGAAGACACGATAAGGAAATCGTAGGAGATATTTCTATGAAACGGAAGCGAAGAAAAATAACATTCAGTCCGAATTCCCAAACCGCTGGTGGAAGCGTACAACGCACTCGGAGCCAGAAAAAGCAAACTGATAAAAATTGATGCGTTATTACTCTATTCATGAATAGCTAATTTTGTTACCTGATGATTCTATCGCCTATTTATGAAATCACTTTTCAATGTTAAAATTATTTTGAAATTATATTATAGTAAAAGTACCCTTATATATCACATAAGCAATGAACCAATATATCAGAGATTTTGATATAAATGATATTCAAACAATTAATATAGATACTGAAAATGAGTTTTTTGATCGTATAGATAAAGACGAACATTATTTTTCCATATTTCACTGCAACATCCGTAGCGTAAACAAAAATTTCAATGAAATAATGCGTCTTTTGAATGATTTCATCCAACAAAGCTTTCATTTTGATCTCATTATATTTTCTGAAACATGGATAGTGCAAGATTTGCAATTCTTCAAAATAAATGGCTATACTACTCTATATAACGAAGGAAAATACAACCAGAACGATGGTGTAATGGTTCATGTTAGGGATGTATACAATATTTCTTTAACTTCTGATATCAGGAACCTAGGCGACGTCAAAGTACTCAATACTTCTTTGAAAAGAAACAACCAAAGAATTCTTGTGAGCGCACTCTATAGACCGCATGGTACGTGTCCCAATACATTTAACAATGAGTTGAACACCTATCTAGACAATTTATCTCATCAAACTGAGTATGATTCGCATTTTATTGTAGGTGATGTGAATATAGATATTAAATCTAACAAAGATTACTGTTAAGAATATCTAGATATTCTCAGTGAATATGGCTTTAAGGCGTTAATTAATTCATATACAAGAATCAGAAATGGATCTAGATCTTGTATTGATCACATTTCTGTTAAGAACAAGAATGACGGAAAATACAAATCATTCGTGTATAATACGGATATAACGGATCACTATCCAGTGATGGCGCTCCTCACAATCGATAAACTAACAACAAAAAATACCAAAATCAACACCATCTCAAAACTCAATCAAATGAAACTAAAAAATATCCTTGAGCACGAAACTTGGGATGCTGTATATAATTCAACAGATTTAGATACAATCACAGATCATTTAATAAAAAGAATACAAAATGCCACAAAACTTGCCACCGATACTATTGTAATAAATAACGAACAGAAAAGACAACCGTGGATAACTACAGCGCTCATCAAATCAGCACAAACAAAACATAAGCTTTATAGAAGATATCAGCATGACCCAACTGATGTATCATTGGAACGTGAATATAAATCCTATAAAAATAAATTTAATAAAGTAATCAACTCAGCAAAAGTACACTATTTTCGAGAGAAGCTTGATGAAAATCGTGATGACTCGAAACTTCTTTGGGATACTGTAAACCAATACACAAATAAAAAATCTGAAAATAACTCAATTAAGGAAATCAACCTGAACGGAAACATCATCAATAAACAAAAAGATATAGCCAATTGTTTCAACAAATATTTCGCAGAAATTGGAAGAAAGCTTGCTGAAAATATCACCAAGCCCGTGCCATCGGTCATTAGTAGAAATATTATAGAAAACTCAATTTTTTTGTACCCGACCGATGAATCGGAAGTGGAAGGTGTTATCAACGAGCTGAAACCGAAAAAATCTCCTGGCATAGACAGCATTACTGCGAATATTCTGAAAATAGCAAAGAGTTATATTAAAGGACCACTGTCGTATATCATTAATGAAATGTTTGTATCTGGATACTATCCTGTTAGTTTTAAAAAAGGAATTATTAAACCAATTTTCAAAAAGGGCAACCACTCACTCATGTCAAACTATCGGCCAATATCCCTTATTTCAAATCTATCAAAAGTCATTGAAAAAATAATCAAAAAACGAATAATTTCTTTTTTTGAAAAAAATAAGGTAATTTCTAATAAGCAATTTGGTTTTAGACAAAGTGTATCAACAGAAGATGCGATTATTCATCTTACAAACAATTTACATTGAAAGTTGGACCAGAACCGTGCTGTGCTTGGTGTGTTTCTCGACCTGACAAAAGCCTTCGACACGGTCGATCATACAATAATGATTAACTGTCTGGAGGACACTGGCTTTCGAGGTAACAGTCTTAACCTAATGAAATCTTACTTGAACAACCGTATACAGATTGTTAAAATTGACGAAAACCTGAGCGACGAAAGTATAATTGAACTTGGGGTTTCCCAGGGTACTGTTCTGAGACCATTATTGTTCACAATCTATATCAATGGTCTTCTCAAACTAGAGAGTAGTGGAATTATATCATCCTTTGCCGATGATACAGTAATTGTGTACGATGATGATTCATGGGGTAGTGTGAAACAGATAGCTGAGAAAGATTTGAGGAAACTAAAATTATGGTTCGATGAGATATCTCTCACTATAAACTTTGAGAAAACACGATACATCCCATTCAGCTGCAACAAAACCAAGATTCCCCAACACAAAAAACTTACCATAAATTCAAATCCACCCATTGATATCGAAGAGTCAGATCATATAAAGTATTTGGGGGTGGAAATTGACAGAAATTTGAAATGGGATGTTCACGTGAAATATTTGGTCAAAAAACTGAGATGC